TTTTGGTCAATATCAAGAACACAAAAATAATAATTATCTAATTTTGTCCCAGTGCGGAGTCCATAATTACCTAATTCAAGTAAAGTGCTTATTTTTCTCTCTTCTTGATAGTTAATTCAATCCTCAACCAACGGTATTTTACTGTTTTTTGGCACAGCAACCCGGATATGAGGCTTGTCTAAATATTTTTCTTCTATTGGTGAGTAATTTTTCATACTTTTTAACTTGGTAACCAGAAATTCATCTACCTAACTTTTTTTCTTTCTAAATTCAGAAATCAGTATAAATAATTGGCTTAATAACTTAATGTGGCTTTTTAAAAAGTCTGAAATAAGCGAGGATAGAGTAAACTCTCTCTATTTAAACTCTGATTTTATTTTAATTAACTATTTTGCCACTAATTACTGGAACTTGATGAACAACTGATGCTTCCATTTTGCTTTCCTCTAACTTAAATAAATTATCAAAATAATAAATGCTATAATTTCTAAATAACTTGTAAGGTTCTCTTAATCACAAACTTGTCTCTTCATATAATTTTTTTAGTCCACGGTCAGTAAAAGTTTTTTTGAAACTATGGTAATCAATGAGATAATCAAGGGCTTGTTCTTTTAAATATCCATAAGCTCCTTTCTTTACATAAAGTGATTTAGATAACTTGGAGCCAGATCAATCGGTCACCAAGGGACTGTAAATGATAAAGGGTAAAATAGTAATGTCAGTTCCTAGTATCGCGGCTCCTTTATAAAGGATTTGTTCTTGGTAGGTTCCCGCATAATCTCCGCCGGTTACCCTAATCCAAGAATAAGGAACTGCTACATCTTGATTGTCTTCTGAGTAGATTACTCCTTTTATTAGATTTCTTAAGGGGGTATTATATTCTAGTTTTTGTGGTTCTTTATTAATATTGATTGAATGTCAACCATGTTCGGGGCAAAAAGAAATGACTGCGTCATTTCCAGCATAGATATTCTTTTTTCCATGCTTATCGGCCAGTCCACATTGGGGACAAGCCACTCTTAAAGCGATAACTTTTGATTCCGGAGATAATAAAGAACCAACCTTTTCTTTTTCTTGGATTATTTTACTAACCACTTCTGGTATTTTCCGATGAGAATTAAACTCACTTTGTCCTCTTATCTCGAAATCTATTCCGGAATAAGAACTTAATTTTTCTAATAATTCTTGGTAGTGGCCAACATGTTTATCAATTTCTTTGGTATAAGCCAAACTTTTTTGATACCGAATATTATCAAATGAATAATTTTCAGAGATTGCTGTATCAACCAACTCTAATACAACCATTATATTTTTACCATTATTTTTTAACTGTTGGGCTAAGGAAAAAGCCAGCGAAAAAGTAGTGATAGTGCCAAAATGGGGCGAACCATTTGGTTGGGCTCCAATACTTACTTTTATATCAGATTTAGGACTAAGACTTAGAATATAATCAACATATTTTTTTTTAAATACATAAGAGCCACCGCCTAAGGGATGATGAACCTCGTTGTCGTGGAATATTTTCATAACGGCTTAATATATTTTTGTTTGTTCTTCCATCACAATATCATTTATTAATTCGGGGTAACCACTAACATAAACGTATTTTTGTGGAGGAAATAAGTTATATTTACTTTTTAATTGCTTGGAATCTACTGGATTAACTAATTTATACAAATGATTAATTTTATAAGCAAACTTAGATACTTTTAGACCTTGATTAAAATCTTTATTTCCCAATCCATCTTCGGGTATTTTATTTGGATATTCTACTGCTTTTTCAGTTTCCGCAATGTAAAGCAATTTGGCCACTGGCTGTCTAACATAGATTCACATTCTTTTAGTCTCCTCGTTAAGTTTATACTTTCTGAATTCATAAGTTTTTTCTCTTTTTTCAATGGGCTGAGAAAATTGTTCATCGAGACTTATTATTATATCAGATTTACCGCTAACGATACATTTTTTCTTTTTAGTATTTGAATTTTCTGTTTTTCAACTAATTTCTTCATCAGAATAATTATCACTTTTTCGTTTTTTAATAAATCCTCACTTTTCTCACTTACTAGTAGAGAAAGAGGAACTAATTTCTTCTTCAAATGGTTGCTCTTTGACTAATTTTTTTTCTTGGTCAAGGTCTTTAACCACTTCTATTTTTGGTATTTCAGGAATAAATTTTTTCATAACTAATTAATTTAATTTTAAGGTTTTGCTTTTTCTTGAACTATTTTTAAACAACTATTAACCACCAAGTCCTTCGCTTAGATACTTTTCAACTCCTCTTCCATCTCCCCCATCATTATTTTCCGCATGTTTTCTCTATTTTTTTCCATACTT